AGTGAGTAATTCACAGGAAACTTCCATCTGGGCAAATATCCCATCTCTGACAGAGGCTGGTAAAAAAAAAGCGTGTAGGAACAATAACTGATATGTCATAAAAATGATGCATTAGGTCCTAGTGATTTGTAAGCCAGGGGTTCATCGAGTGAGGGGGGATGTCTTTGAGTTGGAGACCTTTGAATGGATTTTTCTCCTGTGTGTTTATTAATTTCTTTCTCTGGATATAGCAGCTCTCATTTTTCATCTTAGGATGTGGCGTTAGCATGACAAATTATAAAAGACTGAGGAACAGGTACAGTGGGAGCATGAGATGGACAAATGGGTGATGGACATGTATACTACATGGTGTGCATCCCTTTCATAGAAAATCTCATTTATATACAGTTAAGTGTCTTCAGCATGTTTGCATTACAAAATGGTGCTGGAAAACTTGCTTTCAATGGTGTAGATGAAGTGGGACAAAGTGGCAATCAGTACAGGGAACTAAACCCCCTTTCCTGTAGCTGAAGAGAGGTGAAGGGAATATATTTGAAGCAGAGGGAATGACAAGTCATTTGAAAGAACATAGAAAAAGAAATTGGGCGGGGCCAGACAGAGACATTCATATATAAAATATACCAACTGAAAGATATTTGGAAAGAATTACCTCACCATTATATTTTTAGATCACATCACTCACACAGACCTTCCCTCCTGGAGTCACTGTAACTGAGGCAGAACCAAATACCAATCTCAGCGAGAAAAAAGGTTGTCAGAATTCATGAATATCTCCCTGAGCCCTTCATCTTGAATGGATCTCCTCTCTCTCTGTGTGGATAATGATGCATGTATTTGGCCACGATGAGCACAGGCAAACAGTCCATACTGGAATTATGCTAATCTCATAGCCCCAGTGGGCCCTGAGCAACAAGAAGGAAGACTGCAAGGACAGCCAGGAGAAATGAGGTATAGCTTTAACAGTCATGATGACTGATTTTCGAAGTCATGAAGTCATACCAAAACAACAGAGAGAAATCTTGTCACTGGCAATGTACACTGGTGAGAGGAAAATATATTACATGAAAGAAAGAATATCTATACACTCAGAATGGCGTAAGGGCTTTGAAAACATGGAGGTACACATGCCCACAGCTGACATAGCTATTTTTGTTGTGCATTTGACATGCGTAACTAATTTTCACCCAGGTAGTAACAGTTATGTAAATGGAAATATAATGATTTTTGAATGTGACCAGGATGTCTGGGACTTAATATGAATCAAAACTCTAGACACAGGATAGAAAATAAAGGGCCTTCTCCAGTTCTGTACGGAAAAAGCCCTTTGAGGACTTGACAGTGATGCTATAGTCTGAGAGTCAGGCATAGACAGCTACAAGAAAAACACGCATGCTTCTTTCTGGGCTGTGGTGAAGGCGTAGATGTGATTTTCCTGATGCTTCACAGCATAAGGCAAATCCTAGCATCAGGCCAGAAAGGTGACCTGTCAGTTCAGACATTTAGCAGCCGGATTTCAATACTATCATTGAGTCGCTGCGATGTCATCTCAGCACTGTTGAGACACGGTAAGCATGACCTTAGCAACGGTCCCTGGAGTCCACAAGGCCATGGATTCCCTGCTCAGGGGCGCGCCCGGCTCCTGGTAAAAGGAAGGACCGTGCGCCGCCGCCCTGCCGGGAGGGGAACCGGCCGGGAAACGGCGCTTCAGGGCCACCGGGCCTGGGGGAAGGCAAGAGAGGCGGAGGCAGAAACGGAGGCGGCGACTGGAGCGACGAAGTCGGCGGGGGCCCCGGGGAGGTGCCCGAGAGCAGCGAAGGGCGAACGTCCCACGGCACAGCGCCCGCGGAGGGGGCGGAGACCCAGGCCCCGCCCCCGCCAGCAGGGCCCGCCCCTGTTCCCAATCAGGTCGGACCACAGGATATAAATACCCACACGTCGCCGGCTGCAGCACACAGCTCGGACTAGACAGTGAGCGCAACATGTCTGGTAGAGGCAAGGGTGGGAAGGGG